GGGGGGGGGGGGGGAATTTCAAGATTGCTGTTGAGCTCTTCGGTGCTCCATGGCAGTTCCTGTATCGGTATGGTATGAGCAGCAACGACCACTCAATCAGAATGGGGTGTTTTGGAGTATAGTTAGAGTGAGGATACCGTGCCTATTTTCGGCTACTGGACACCCCCCCCCCCACCCCGAAAATACAGTATAATCTTAGGAGATTTATCTTGTTCCCGATACTCGTATCTACCTAGGTGCCATGGCCCAAAAAAGGCCAGGGGGGTCTTATAGAATTTGGATTAGGGATTCGGGTTAAGGGTTAAGCATTCGCTTTANNCTTCTCGGATTCTCCGATCATGTTGTAACCGTACTATACTTGTAACATAACGCTGCTCATGTATTAGAACTACATTATAGTAATAAATTGTTACCGAACAGAACAATATTTCCGATTGATGAAGCTATCATACCTTGCTTCAATATCCTGAACGTTAAATTCAGGGTCTAGGTGTCGCACAAGGGCTTGCAGCCTCGTCTTCTTCAATGAATGATCTACTTGAAGCTTGCCTTGCCCCAAACAATAGCCTACCTTTTCACATGGGTTCCTTATGCAAGTTTCAAGGATCATGGGACTGGGACTTGGCAGCAGACAGATAAGCGTCAGGAAATTGCAGGCTTCTACCGAGGTTTAGGGCTTTGGGAGGATACGACCGGTTCTACCAGGGTTTCAGACACTTGTGCCAGACGAAATGGAAAGCTAAGTAAACAGATTGCAATGAAACCTTTCAGTAGGGCAACGTGTAACCCTGCTTGAAACCTAGTGACCAAGCCACTCAGTCCGACAAGCTAAACCCTAAACCCTAAACCTGTACAGAGCTTCCCAGGATCGCCAAGAGGGCTTGCAAAGACTCGAAAAGCCCTCTCTTCAGCAACATTCTTGAAACTGTACTTTCATGAGGCATCTTGCACGATTTCCAGAGATACCGGAGTCTCTCAGAACATCCAAAAATTCAGTGCGCTCAGAAGCTCCATGTCCTAAACTGAGGTGGTCAATGAAGAAGACATATACCGAATATGCATACATACATGCATACGTGTGTGCGTACACACACACACAGAGACATACATACATGCATGCATGCATGCATGCATGCATGCATGCATGCATACATACATACGTACGTACGTACACATACATACATACATACATACATACATACATACATACATACGTACGTACGTACGTACGTACGTACGTACATACATACATACATACATACATACAGACATGCGTACGTACGTGCATACGTACATTCATACTTTCATGCATGCATGCATGCATGCATACATGCATACATGCATACATGCATACATACATACATACATACATGCATACATACATACATACATACATACATACATACAAACTAACATAACATAACATAATGTAACATAACATGCGTACATACCCACACATACACATGTATGTATGAGTATACATGTGTATATATACATATATGGAAATATGTAATGAATCCGTGCATGCCTGCATGCACGCATGCACACATGGATGGAAAACATATGCAGACTTATCGTGCGACAGACAACGAAGCCTCCTGTAAGTGGAGATACAGCAGAGCTGCATGGTGAATTACATCTCACGACGCGGCCTTCCTGAATAGAATGGTGGTATAGTATAGTACAATATCTACCCGAAAAATCCTTCTCAAACATTAGAGCGCCTATGGGGGCTTATGAGTTTACGGGTGGTCCATCCAGTATTAAGGATCCTTCCGTTTAGGGTCGACACGAGGGTCCCAGACTCTCCGAAAACTCCCTTAAACGCTTCGTCTGGCCTGGCGCATCATGTGGTCGAAGTCCTGAGGCTTGGGCACGACGCGCCCGTCCCCACGGAAACTGAGCGTCTGCGCGTAGTCCACCTCAAGCACAGGGGCTCGCTTACGTGAGGCTCGTAGTCGAAAAAAAAGCTTAGCTCGGGGTTCAGCGGTTCAAGGTTTAGGGTTTTAACTACCTATGTAGACGTGGCCTTGACTCAAAATCCTAAACCCGAACCCGAAACCCTAGGCCTTAAGGCTTTGGCACCTTGGAGGTGCAGGGTTGGGGCTCATGGGCTTCGTGTTTCTAAGCACCTCACCTCGAAGGCGTCGTCCTCCCTCCGGCTGGGATCCGCCGCCGGCCCTTTTGGGGGCGATCCCGGTGGCAAAGGCGGCCACACTTCCGTGGGCCCATCCATGGGAGGTAGAGGAGGCCAGAGCCCCTCCTGGCTGCATGTGGAGATGAGAGGGGCTTGTTTGCTTTATGGGGTAGTATAGAGGGTTAAGATTTATGGGGTTACGCTTTCCTTTACAAGATGCCGTGGGCTTTGACAGGATTGCATGCGCTTTGAAAGCGGCGGGCAGTGTTTTGAAGGGCTTTAATGAGCTTGTTTATGGGGCTATACACGGCTTTAGGCTTTACCTCTGGGCGTTGGGCATTTCAAGCTACAATTCCTGGTCTAGGGCGGTGCTGTGCCAGCTTAGGGTTTAGGGTTAAGGGCTGAGTGTTTGGGGCTAAGGGTTTCGAGATTCCCTAAGGTTCTTGAACATTGCTGGACCTACCTTGCAAGGCTGCGAAGGCAAAGATCCGAGTTTTGCGAGAAGGAAGCAACAAAGTCCAAAACCCTAGAACTAGACCTAATAACACAACACCCGGAACCCCAACAACCCTAAACCCTAAACCCTAAAGCGTGGAAGATGCCTCCTCCTCGCCAAAGCGATCTAGCTCTTCGGCCGTGGGGAGCTGTGGACCTTCCTCGATCTCACTGGGTTTCATCTCCTTGAGGTTGTTCACCTGAGGGCGTAGGGTTCAGGGTGTAGGATTTAGGGTTTTAGGGTTAAGGGTGTACAATTGAGGGTTTAGGGTTTAGGGTTGAGGGTTTAAGATTTAGGCTTTAGGATCTAGTTTAGGGCTTAGGGCCTAGGACTCCGGGGCTCTACAGGTGCGCTTCTGTAGGAGCATGGACCGTGGAATGGTTTAGGGCTTGGTATACACACTTGGCATACAGCTTAGACAAACATGCAAGGGAGGCTTGATGGATCTTCTGCTTGTACTGCACTTGAAGAGGGATGGCACACAAAAGACGCTACAAAGCCTAGATCGACCCGAATCCCAAGCCCCAACCCCTAGACACGCAAAGCCCGAAACCACAAACCCAAACCCCCCAACCCTAAACCCTAACCCCTAACCCCTAAACCCTAACCCCTAAACCCTAAACCCTAACCCCTAACCCCTAAACCCCCCAAGAACACCTGAGCCCCGTTTTGGCACCGCCTTCTCTCGGCACTCGGTGCACATCTTCGGTCCCATCTGGGCGGAGTATATCCTCAGCTTTCGTTTTAGGGCTTGGGGCTTGGCGTTAATGGTCTGACGTAGTGGCCTTAAATAATTAGAATAGGGTTTTGGGGGGGTTCCTTATTATGTTTCTAGTGTATATGCCCCAAACCCTATTCTAATTATTAAGGCCCCTATACTATGGCTTAGCGCCTAGGGCTTTCAAGGGTTCAGGGTTTAGGGCTGACAAGGGTTTAGGAAGGGCTGTCGTCTGGGCTTCGGGTTTTGGGATTTGGGATCTGGGCTTCGGGATTCGGGTGTGGTTGATGGGACTCTCAGTTCCAAGAACCCCAAAACGTAAAAGTCTTCATAGGGGTAGTTTCTCTAAATTCGGGTCCCTTTTAGGGTCCTTTTTATAAGGGTGCCGTACCGTTTTGGGGGACCTAAAAGGGGACCCTAAGTTAGAGAACTACCCACACCCAGAATCTGCCAGAAGATACCATGATCCCTTCAACCTCATAGTCATAGCCAAGCATCCAGCCCTGCTGGCCACCCTTGATTTTCTTGGCCCACCACCATCCGGCCTTGCTCCATCGCAGGACCCGAAACTCCTTGAATTCGGATGGATTCGGATTTGGGGTCAGTGGGTTAGTGCTTAGGGTTTGGCCACGGTTGCGCCTTCAGTATCTGGCCTGACTAGAGCCAGCAAAGCGAGTGTTGCGATGGGCATGGCTCGCCGGCTGCTGTAACATCCCGATAGCACCGCGGATCTTGTCATAATGCCAACTACCTCCAGCACCACCATTACTTCATAGCCTCCACTAGTACTACAAGCACTTCCAGCACCACCGTTACTTCAGAATCATTGGCGTGGAAAGTATTCAGCCCCCTCAACCCTAAACCCTAAATCCTCAGAGTTTTGAAACCCCTGACGCGGCTCCTCACCGACCTCGAAGCTCAGGCAGTGCTCGAAGGTCCCACCGAAGCCTAGGATTTAGGGCCATTTAGGGTTTAAGGTTTGAGTCGAATTTGCTGGGGAGGCCTAAAGGTTATGTAATGGGCGTCTGGTATCCTACACCCTAAACCCTAAATCCTGAACTCTAAGATTTGAGCGTTGTCAGGCCATAGAAGTATCTTGCTGACCCTAAACCCGAAACCCTACACCCTAAACCCGAAGAGCACCTGAACCCAAAAGTTCTAAAACCTTCAGCACATGCCCTAAAGCCGTGGACCACATCCCAAACTGAATCCTCCGAGAGGCTGGTCTTGGCCACCACCGGGAACGACATCGGAAATGCTGAATCCCAAAACCGAAGTGAAGAGGTGATTGCCAATAGCTACCTAAGTCAAACACAACTCGAAGGACTCGAGCCAGAAGTCCTAAATCCTAGGTACACGTCGGCTGTTGCATCAAAAACGGCATGGACTTGGGATGCACTACCTTCGGAGATCCCTACTATACTATTTCTGAAACTGTTCTGTATTCTGTTCCGAAACAGTCGACCGTCTCATGAATTATGGCGGGGCTTCAGGCTATAGATCCACCAAACCCTCAGTCTGAAAATGGTGAAAATTATGAACCGGCATCTCAAGTTCTTCATCTCTGGGCTAAAAAGATGGACGAGCGTAATCCCGACGTCTGAAGCACACTGAATACTAAGAAAACAAGCGAGGTACCCTAATTTTAGTACCCCCACCATGGGAACTGCTCGGACACCTGTTGAGCCAGAAAGCAGGGCAAGAGGTCGCAGATCTATGCGAGCCGGTTTGGGGTGTAGGGCGTACCCATAGGCTCCTAAGTAGTTCCTTTTTATGGCTCATATTTAGAAGCTTATAAGGTAATCCCAAAAAGGAACTACTTAGGAGCCTATGGGTAGGGTAGAGATTGCAATGCCTTCTGAAACTCATCAACTACGTCGCTCTACTGCATCGTAGGTTTGCATTTGGGGGGGGGGGGCGGGGGTCATGCTTGAGCCTCTTTGTAGGTCGAGTTCACAAACTTTCATGGAAACCCTACAAAGGACCATTATGATCCATTACCAGGAAGACCATCGTAATACACTATCGACTGTTATGGGTCGATTTATCGTATGTTAGAGTACTGCCTACTGGGCAAGAGGGGCGTAAAAGATAGTGTTGATGATATAGATCCTGCATTACCTTAAGGGCCGTAAACCATGGGAATTATGGTATATTCCTTATAAATGGGTAATGCATGCACGCAAACCCTAAACTCTAAACCCTAGACCCTAACTCCTAAGCCCTAAACTCCGAATTCCTAAACCGTAGGGCCTTGGGTCGTAGAGATACTGTTGATGAACCGTCCCTAAACCCTAAACCCTAAACCCCTAAACCCTCCTAAACCCTCCTAAACCCCCCTAAACCCTAAACCCTCCTAAACCCTAAACCCTAAACCCTTGGCAGGTCTCAATACCATCTTCCTGCCAGACCTAGGAGGCCGCGGGTTTAGGGTTTAGGGTTTTATACTGGTTCCTTTAAAGGGATCTA